ATTCCTCTAGAAACTCTATGAACTTTAATGAATGTCAGTAGTTGTAGAGGGGCTTCAGGTCTTTAGTTCATAGAGTCGCTATGAGTCATGCTCCACTCGAAGGCAATCAACAACAACAACAGTGGACACAAAAAAGCAAAAATCTAATCCTTCTGCTATCAAATAAAATCTTACTAAACCTTCACTGGGGTTTGGAAATTTTAAATCTTTATGGAAAGAGCCTACTTATCTTCCTCTCTCAGTATAGCAAGCAGATTTGAACTCTCAGTTAGCATCCTGGCACATTAAATAACATGCCACCAAGGGGCTTTTGGGACATAGCAGTCTTCTAATAAATGTAACTTTCCTTTTTCTTGCTATTTTACATTGAGTAATTAAAAGATACTATCCAGTTTCAGCATCAGGGGAAGCAAGGTAAGATAGTTCTCTCAAGTAGTGGGACTCTGCTCCTGTTCAAAAGGATAGTTTGTTCCTAGTGGTCTGATCATCTTAGTGCTTATGAATATATTCTACCTGCTGGTAGCTTTCAACCAAATACAGTTAGATAGATAGATAGCTAGCTAGCTAGCTAGATAGATAGATAGATGGATAGATGACAGATAGAGATAGATATAGATAAGATGTTCATCATGTTGAAATGTCTTATTTTATTACAAATGGTTTCTTCTATAAAATTTATAGACTTCCATCAGAACTGCTGTACATAGGGTCGCTATGGGTCGCAGTTGACTCGACAGCACATAACAATAGCAACAACATCTTCATGACGTTACAAACCTGAGACATATGAATTTCTATGTTACTATATTAAAATAGTATTTTAATAAAGACAGGCCAATCTTCAACTGTTAGAGCAGAATAGTTAATGCAGCATGAGGCCATCTCTGGTTTCTGAATGGAATGATCTCTTAGTACTTAGATTACTTAGATGCTATGTATCTATGTGGATTAAGCTAAAAGGTCCTGAACTTTCAATTCCCAGATCAATGTTTTCATAGTAAATATTTTCTCATTAACTCATTCTAAGTTATTGCTATCACACTGATCCATTTGTATTGACTTTATCCAGGTTTGCAACTTCCAATAATGAAATTAGATATAAGTACTGAACATTGCCTGAATTACTTAACCAACCTGAATTCCTCCGAGCTCAGTGCAACACAAAACCAGAATGAAACTATTATTTTATTAATTATCCTTACTTAGGGTGGCTAGTTAATACTGTCAAATTGAACATGGATCTCTTTTCACTGGGAAAAAACATAAGATTACTCATGCCTCATGAAAAAGAAGAATTCAAAATCAACTCACTGCCAGCAAGTTGGAACCCATTCTTAGCTGACCCTCCCACAGATTATGAGAGACTGTAAATAGTACAGAAGGAACTTGTGTCTCTTTCTCCTGCAGAACTGGTAGATTTGAACCACCAGAGAGATGTCACCTTCGTTTAATAGCACAACTCTCTACCCACTAGCACACCAAAGTCCTGAATTAGAAGGCATCGCTGTGAACTACGAAGAAATTCCATTACACATTGTTACTCAAATAATAACACTGCAGAGAGCTTCAAGCACTAGAAAGGTGCACTAGAGGCCAGGTGAGTGAGGATAGTGGCGTGAACTAGGCTGTACTCTGTGATGGGAAAACATGCCACAGGTGGAGCTGACATAAAGGTCAGTCTTCTCATGTGTATATTTTGTGTGATTTCTTCAGTTAGAGAATAATTATTTTGTTATAATAAAAGCTAAAAATTTACATTATATTTACTTATCTATTGAAAGAAAAACCACTTTATTTAGAAGAATAGGAAATTAGTGAATTCCCAAACAATTTTTATTTCCTTTAAAAGGAAATTTGAAAATGTTGCATTTAATTCATTGGCTTACATATATTAAAGTAGCTTTTTAAAATTATCACTACTTTCTAAAGCTTCAATCAAAACTATTTTAGTTGGAGTCAACTGATCCTGTTAGTGGATAGGCTGCCCAATATTTTTTCCAAAAAATCAAATTTCTGAAACTAAAAGACGTAACTGCCACTCTTTTTCAAGTCTTCCATAACACATTTATCAATTTCTTTATAAGGTACTATCCCTAAACCATGAGATATTATTTCAGGATACTTTTCTTAATACAGATGAATTATAAGACTCGTGACCTCAACGCCTTTTCTCTTAAACCCCATATATATTCATCATACTTATATAAATATATTCACACTACATTTACATCTCACTTAATCTTGATATTGTTGTTATTGTTATGTGCCATTGAGTTGTCTGTGATTCATAATGACCCTAAATAACAGCCTATACAACAGTCCTAAACCCTGCTCTATCCTGTGCATATCTTATTGTCTCTGACATCTACTTCCCATTACCTTAGTCACTGAATCAATCTATCTTATCAAGAGTGTTCCTCTCTTATGCTGTCCCTCTACTTTCCCAAGCATGACGTCCCTCTGCAAGGACTGATCTCTCCTCGCAATATGTCCAAAGTATGTCAGACAAAGCTTCAGAACTCTTGCCATTAAGGAGCAATCTGATCTCACCCTCTCTAGGATGAACCTGTTTGTTCTTCTAGCAGTCTAAGGTATATTTAATACTCTTCTCCAACAACACAGCTCAAAGGCAACAATTATCCTTCTATCATCCTTAGTAATTGTCCAGTTTTTTGACAAATATCAAGTAATTGCAAAGACTGTGGACTGGATCAGGTGCACCTTAGTCTCCAGACTGACATCATTACTTTTTCAGTACTTTGGAGAGGTCTCCGACAGAAGACTTTCCCAATGCAATTCATCTTTTAATATTTATATATCACATAATACTTATATATCACATAACACATATATTTAGAGATAGCTATTTAGTGATAGCAGAGTTGGAAAAGTATAACCTGTGGGCTATTTTTAAAAATCTTGGGTTTTTTTTAGGGACGAGAATATCTACAGGAAGTTTTAGTGAAGTAGTCCATAAAAAAATCTCACTAATACAAAAATGCCATGTCTTTTTGGTGGTTAGAATTCATCACAGTCTCCTTCAAAGAAAGATAAGCAAGCTTCTCCTGTGAGATTTATTATAGCCTCGGAAACTCATCAGAATGATGACTATGAGTTAGTTTAAACTCTGTGTCAATCAGATGAGTTGCGAATATCTAAAAGGGAGTTCTGATGACAGAGTGGATAGGCTGTTGCACTGTTAACTCAAAAGTCTCACCTGTTTGGTGGTTCAAATCCACCAGTGGCTGCCCCCTCCACCCCCCCACCCCCGCCCCCTGGAACGGAGATAGGTAGTGTCTTCCTGTGCAATTTAGAACATCAGAAAACCAATGAAGAGTCAGTTATCAGTCATTTCCAACTCAATGGCAATGAGTTTTTCAGAATATCTGCAATTTGATCCTTTGCAGAATAAATTTGCTGATTAGAGGGAACTGGCCAATCTAAGTTAGTGAGCTACATAAATTTAATACAGATAATGTTATTAATCTACGATACAACTAGGAACATAAAATGATGACCTGTAAAAAAACTTTCCAGCTTGGAAAAATCAAATATATATCATGAACAAGGTATATAACAAGCATTTCTTAAATGTTTGAAATTAAATGTCTTCATTCAGCCCTAGGCAGAATCATCACCAAATTAAATCACAGCTGACCTACACACTCATTGCAAATATGCTACAGAAGATGACTTTTAGTATCATGTCTTCCTCTGGTTTTAGCAGTCAGTTCAATAGTTACACTCAGTTTAGTACAACTCCATAGTTTAGATGGCTTTCAGATAAATTATCCACTGTGCCAAGTTACTGAATTTCATTAATTATGGTAATAAATGCATATAATGCAAATACTGCTTTGGGGGACTTTGGAGTTATTCCTTGTTTGCAGGTGGGCACAGCTGGATGCCAGGCAGAGTAAACACATTAATAATCCTTTTCAATGGACAAATCCCCTCAATTCTTACATAAAGCAAAAGTAAAACCACAGGAACAGAAAAATCAAACAACAAAGCCTACTCATAAATAAAGTGAATTTTCCTAAGACTAGTTAGTAAAATCAAGGTACTTAGGCTTCGGTACAATCATGATAAAATTAGAAAAAAAAAACAAAACACATAAAAACCCAACAAAAAAAAACACAAGAGAAGATTGTAGGAGGGTATGGTTAATACAAAAAACTTTGAAATTATATTTTTCTGAGTTTAAAATCTTAAATTTGTTACTTAAATAGTATTTGGCTCTGTACAAATTTCACCTAAGAACCTCAATTCCTTAATCTGTAAAATGGAAACGATGAGAGTTCCTAGTCTATTGTAGTGCTTTATGAATTATGTTAGGTAATGATAATGGACTTAGGAGTGTCAGACATAAAGGAGACACATTATAATGATTATTTAAATGTTATTTCAAATCACAGCTCTTGGTATTGCTTCTAATAATTAACTACAATGTCAAATTCTTTTATTTTAATGTCCAAATTCTTAATGAAAAGCAAAACAAAATAAAATAGGCAGTAGAAGCATTTAGTGGCCTGGTGGTGAGAAGCTGAATTGCAATCCCAAAGGCACAGGGTTAGAGGCCACCAGCTGCTCCACAGAAGGAGGATGGGAAATCTTCACTTATGCAATTCACTGCTTTTGAAAACCCACCAGAGTGTCAGCGAGAGGTTGGTTCCAATTCTACAGTACACAGCAACAGAAGCATTTATCAATTAAAGTACAACAGCAGCACTATCTTGGGTTTGTGTAGTACCTCAGGCATTTCATGGCTGATTACCAAGTATTCTTCCCTTTATTTAAGCAGGAATGGAAAGGGATACAAAGACATCATCTTGATTATTTACAAAAACACAACCATAATTACACGCAAGCCTGCAGATATGGACACTGTTTATATTACCATATCCTCTCTTTTAAACCTCTGCACTTAACTGATAGATCATTTCCCCCGTATTCTAACTCCAGAGAAACAAATCCTTCTTTTCCAAGCAAAAACTTACTGGCCGTGACCGGATTTCTTTGGCGTAGAGAGGTTGTAAGAATTCTGAATCTCCTTCTAGCTTTAGACCTTTTTCAGTTATTCTCAAGTTTCCCATTCCATCCTGAAAAAGAGAACAAGGGAAATATGATTAGTCAAAATTTGGAAGTTCTTCAGGCCATGAAAAATTGAAAAGAAATTTATTGATCTCTCTTTTTTAAAGAAAGAATGTTGACTAAGGATAACTCAACTAATTACTGTTGAGTAGGAACTGATCCACAGCTGACTATCTATTGGGTTTTCAGGGGTTGAAATTAAGATGCACCTGATCCAGGCCATGGACTTCACAGTTACATGCTATGCAGAAAACTGGACAATGACTAAGGATGCTAGAAGAAGAATTAATGCCTTTGAGCTGTGGTGTTGGAGAAGAGTATTAAACATACCACAGACAGCCAGGAAAACAAATAGGCCTGTCTTGGAAAGGATGAAACCAAATTTCTCCTTGGAGACAGGGATTTTGAAGCTCTGTCTGACAAATTTGGGCACATGGCCAAGCGGCACCAATCTTTGAAGACAGATTTCATGCTCAGGAGGATGGAGAGACAGAGCAGAAGATGATGATTCCAGATGAAATGGATTAACATGATAACTGGGGCAATGGGATTAGTTGTGTTGGAGTCAGTGAGACTGGCTCAGTATAGGTCAGGATTCAGAGCTGTTGTACAAAGAGTCACTATGAGTCACAGGAGGCTCAACAACATAACAACAACAACAACAAATCACATGGGAGGATTGTGCTCATATTTCTCCTTTCGAGCAAGTATTGGAACTCCTTACCACTAGCCATCTCAAATCCTTGTGCACTGAGGTGGTTGTTTTTGACTGCCATTGAGTAGAGCTTGACTCATAGTGACCCCACGAACGAAAGACCTAAAGACTTTCTATAATTATTGACATTTCTCAAAGTTCATAGAATTTTCAGAGGCATGTTCTTTAAGAAGTGGATGTCACTCCTGCTTCCAAATGTACACTGAGGAGGAATCCAAAAAAATATTTAACGGCATTGTTGAATGCAATCACACATATTATCTTTATTTTGTTCACTTATTCTGAGAAATTATGACAGCTTTTTTGTAAAGCTTTCTAGTGATTTGTGTTTGCAAATGAATGAGGCCCAAATTGTTAGGTGGTGTAAAATTAAAGGAGGTATAGGGTAATCAGAAAAGGATAAAAATATGCTATTCTGTGTTCAAGTTAAAGATTTTGCTTGAAAAACTCTACACAAAAAATTTAAAGTGCATTCCAAACAGCCAGAGAAGAGCAGACAGGTACACGGACAAGTCATTAGCTCAGACGGTTCCCTCCCAGCCAGCCACAGGAGAGGAGATAAGTATATGAGTTGGACATTAAGATTTTGGGACTGCACTATGGTGATGTTGCCACTTCCCTAGATCCTTGTCTGCTCAGGCAAGAACAGCACAATCTCAACTAGCCTCAAGATAAAAGACAGGTGCGCAGGACAGTCATTAGGACCAAAGGGGCCCCTTTCAGCCAGCCACAAGAAAGGAGACAGTACATGGATTGGCCATTAGAACTGAGACTTGGGGACAGTGCTACTGTGACCTAGCCACTTCCTTGTGCCTCTGTCCGCTCCGGTAGCAATGGCTCCCTCCCAACTGGTTCAGGAGAAGAGACAGGAATGAGGGCTGGACATCAGTAGAGACAACCCCTTCCTAACTACACTTGGAAGAGGAGACAGGTGTATGGGTTGGCCATTAGTACCTACTGAGAATTAAGGATGCACTATTGGGATTGTGCCACTTTCCCAGGCCTTTTCCCTGGGCAAAATATTCCAAGCAGCACTTCTGGGGTTTTGTTGACCTCTAGGGAAAACTCTCCCCTCTTATCAAAGGACAGGATAGCATAGATATGAACCCACCACAGGTGTGCAAAGGGAGAGATGCAGGTTCTTGACCCTCAGAGGCAACAAGACGAGAAATGGGGAACATAGCAGTCTATAGTCATAGAAGGGAAAACTGCCACTTGGAAAATGAATAGGAGAAAACACAAAGACAGCAATTTATCAATAGCATCACAAAGATAGGAACTGTTGGTAACCTACACAGGCACAACTGAAACTGTCTCCCCATACTAAGAAGACCTTCACATAAGGTCAGGAAAGAAGCAAGTAGATTAAACATTCTGAAGAAAACAAAATAAGTCTTCCTCTAAAAAAGTAGACCAAACTACAGAACCAATGAATACCGTAGAGAAAGGTAAGCAGAAGAAATATATCACTGTGGAGCTACTTGAACTACTACTGAAGAAGATGGAAATGATGGAAAAATGAACTGGAAACAATAAATAAATCAATACCTTATAGGCAGTGAGCCAGAAGAAATGTATTGATGTGGAGGAACATAAACAACTATTGAAGAACATGTAAATGATGGAAGAAAAAAATTGCAACCATAAATAAAGAGGTAGAAGAATTTTGAACATTATCACATGAAAGAGATGGTATAATGAACACAGTACTAAAAATAACAGAAGTGCATGAAAAGCAATCTAGATTATGAAATTTAAAAACATGCAGAATTTATCAAGATACTAGATAGCATAAAAACCCAGAAAAGATGGAACAAAGAATCAATGAACAAGAAGAAAAGAACCTCAATGGGAATTTACTAGAAGAGAAAAACAGAAGAAGATGTAAGGAAAAGTAACATTAGAATCATGTAGAACAACATCAAATGGAACAACAGATCTGTGATTGCCATTTTAGAAAAGGAGGCTAGGGAGGAAAAGAACTGAGAAAATGATAGAGGAAGTACTAGAAGAAAACTTCCCAGATATCATGAAAAATGAGGAAATTGTATTCAAGAAGCTCAGTGATCTCCAAACTTGACCCCAAAAGAAAAATATTAAGATATATCACAGTAAAATTATCCAAAATCAAAGATAAAGACAGACTACTAAAATCATCACATGAAAAACAGAATCACCTACAAAGGAGACCCAATTAGGTTGAGCTCTGATTTCTAAGCAGGAACCATTCAAACAAGAAGACAATGGCTTGAAAAAAACCCAAAAAGAACAACTTCCAGCAGAGGATCATGTACCCAGCAAGATTGTCCACTGAATATGAAAGAGAAATTAGATTATTTCCAGAAAAGAAGTAATTTAAGGAATTTGTCAAAACAAGACCAACTTTACAAGAAAGACTATGGGAAGTCTTTCACAAAGAAATAGCAAAGGACTATGGATAAAACAAAGTAATCAGGAACAACAGAAATAGAAACACGACAAAATGGTGATGATACTACCTGGCCTGCTATTAATCTATTTATTGTGAATGACTTAGATACACCAATTAAGGGAAAAAAGAACAACAGATGGATTAAAAAAAAAAAAGAACCCATAATATTTTGATGAAGAAACACGGCCAGATTTTTTTCTTCTATAAAACAAGCATAGCTCAAATACTAAAACCAAACAAAGACAACACCAAAAAAAAACAAAAACAAAAAAACCCAACTATAGACCAATATAAACATAGGTGCAAAAATCCCTAATGAAATTCTAGCCAATAGAATCCAACAGAATAAAAAAATATTCATGATGACAAAGTGGGATTCATAATAAGTATGCACATATGGTTCAACAAAAGCGAAACTATCAATGAAATTCATCACATTATCAAAGCAAAGAACAAGAAACATATAATCCTATCAGTTGATACAGAAAAGACTTTTGACAAAATCCAATATTCTTTCCTGATTAAAACACTCAACAAAATAGGTGTAGAAAGGTATTTCCTCACATAGAGAAAAATATATATGCAAAACAAAGACTGAATGTAAAGACTAAAGGCATTCCCCTTGTGAACAAGGAGCAGACAGTAATGCACATTACCACCACTCCTATTCAATATTGTATGGATAATACTTGTTAGGGCAATAAGTTAAGAGAAGGAAATAGGAGGCATCCAAATTGGCAAAGAGTTGGTAAACTGTTAATATATGCATATGATTGTGTACAGAGAAAATCCCAAAGACTCAACAAAAAACTGTCAATCCTAATAGACCAATGTAGTAGTGTGGCAGAAGACAAGATCAATATACAAAAATCAGTGGGTTTTCTATACAGCAGCAAAGAAAGTATGGCAAATGAAACTATGAAAGCAGTGCCATTTATAATAGCCAACTACAATATTAAATACTTGGGAATAAATCTAACTAGATAAATAAAAGATCTTTATAAGGAAATAGGACCAAACTTAAAAGCATTAACTTCTGGCATAAATAGGCCTGCAAATATACCCAGAAATGTACAACAAGGAGAGGATAAAAATCGATGACTAGGACCTTCTAAAAATTTAGTCTGTGATCAAATATTTTTCCCCACAAGGGTAAAAAAAAATAAAGTTACTGATTGATAAAAACACAACTGGCAATGATACCTTAAAGAATCCTTTTATAACAAAAGTTTACAGAATATTACAGAACCTCCACAAGAAAAAGACTGACAACCTAAAACCAAAATGGATGAAAGACATAAAAAGATTTTTCATAAAGGAAGACTTCAGATATCTAACAAACACATGTAGAAATATTCAATATCACTGGTGATAAGAGAGATGCAAATCAAAACAACAATCAGATACCATCTCTCTGCAGCAGTAGCAGTTGTTGTTATGTGCCATTGCTTCACCTGCAACTCCTAGCAACCCTATATACTTTGGCTCTGAACCTTGCCCTATCCTGAGCTAATTTAATAATCTCCAACAGAGATCATCATCTCCATTTTTCCAGTCAATGAGTCAATCTATCTCACCCTGGGTCTTCCTCTCTTGTGCTATGTCTCCACCCTTCCAAACATGATGTCCTTCTCCCAGGACTGGTTCCTCCTGGCCCCATACCCAAAGTATGCAGGACAGAGCTTCAAAATCCTTGCCTCGAGGGAGGAAATCTTCAGGAAAGACCTGTTTGTTCTCCTGACAATCCATGGTACGTTCAACACTCTTTTCCAGCACCACTACTCAAAGGCATTGATCTTTCTTTTATCATCCCTAATTATTGTCCAGCTTTCTGATGCATAGCAAATAATTACAAGGTTTAG